CTTCAGTCCTTGTCTAATTCGATTGACAATCAGAGATGTTCCTCGGGACGACCCTATTAATGGAACCGATTCAGACAGGACTTGCACCAATGGAATTCAACATAAAGTGCCTGAAAGTATTAGTACAATTGGACCGCTTGCAGTTGCACGCTCAACTGAACAAGAAGCTTGCCTTGAGGAGTACCAGGATGCATCTTCTTTTCTTCATCAATCAGATCCAGGAGATGGTATAGCAGTCGCATGTGAGTCAGATGTTTCTGCGAACCTCAAGAGTTTGGATAAAGGCTCAGTGGGTTCGTTTGGTTATCGGAATGATCTTGTTGTTACAGTCGACGACATGCTCAAGTCCACTTCTGAAGATAACTACAGTACACGCATTTTAATACAGGACAGTGCATGGCATGTTTCCTATGAGGCTTTTCACTTTCAGTATAATGAGAGGGATCCCAATTCAGCCTTAAACTGGTTTGCTCATGCCAAAACCACTCACGACACCCATCATGCTACCGTGGTTGAATATGTTATCCATATGGTGAGAACTTTGTTGATTATGATTGAGCTGGAGCAGTGCACTAACCCAGGCTTATTTGTTAAATGGGTTGTCGAGTCTGGGAGCAGCAAAAACAGCAAGGTTGTTTGGCAAACATACGGAATATTTCTGGAGAGAGTGTGTTATGGGGGCCCTGATTATGCCATTTCTATTTAATCTCATGAGTAACTTGTGCTCAGCAGGAGGTATCATGTTCACCTCGTGTGATTCTTTTAATTTTTTGAGAAAGGATGATCACCTTAACAGTCAGGAGAGCACCACGACTACCTCTGCTTTGACATTAAACACTTCCATTCAGTTCATGTTCTCTGTGAGAGTTGAGCGCTTGGCCCCCCTGTGCGATAACGTGCATTCATCTAGTGACCAAGCTGCAGAAAATGGTACTGACAAGAGAAAAGTTCTGCTGACTACTCCATATGAGGTATGGCTTACCAAGCTACGACCAAGACCATGGCCATGGTTCGAGTTTACTCCGGAGACCATTCAACCTAGGCTAGACTTGGTTTCACTTTCAGGTCATTGCCGCAAAACTTGTGTGGTGTTCGAGCAATGCTTTTGTAGTCAGCTCTATTTACGAATTGAACACTTGAGGCTCACGTGTGATGAATTACCCAATACTCCTGGAATGGTCAGCTTGGAATTCACTGTCTTTGCTATGTATCTGGCTTTGCTGCTACTCGCTTCTACTGATATCAATCACACCGGATTCTCCCGCTCAAGCACAACTGTTACAAACCTGAAGCTGCAGCTGATTGCCTTTTCAGATGAGTGGAAACTCCTAAAGCCTAATTTCGTTCAAGCTAATTTTGTCCCCTGTTCGGATGCATTTCTCACTGGGAACCAATTCATGGTGGTTGTTGAACTGTTGTTGCATCCTGTTGGGCAGATAAGTGACAGGGTTCAAAGGTGGAGAAGCCAATATCATACAAGGGAGAGCAACAAAATCACTTACAACTATGGCATATGCGTTGGCATCCTAGTGGTAAGGAGTGGCCTCATTCCGATTGAATTGGAACTACTTATTCCACAACCAGGAGAGCATTTGGCCTTGTTGCAACCCAAACCTCCATGGTCACCTCTTGTCTCACCACAATTTTCTACAGAATGCAGCAGCAATATGCGAACTAATTCAGAGTTTCTTCAGCTCACTGGAGCTCTTTGGGAATTGACTCAATCTTGGACCTTTACTGATCATTGCAGTACCTTGTCAAGCTATTGGTGGTGCTTCTCTTGGGGGCCAGATGCAGGTCTCACTACTACTCTGTTTTGGTTAGCCCATAACAGCACCAGGAAACTACAAGAGATGCCATGTATTTCTGGGAGCTCTAGTACCTGTGCTCGCTTGCATGCAATGAAATCCATAACTGAAGATTATCCCATAGCTTTTATCATGTGGCAGTTCATACAATCAGTTGAACATGCAACTTCTTGCGAGCAGTGGGGCCCGGGAGGATTGCATTTTGCGGAGCTAGAAGAGAACGAGCACCGGCTTGGGGGCAAGCCAGTTGTTAAGGAGGAGGGGATGTCAGCGACCCAAATACGGCCACAGTTGCGTCGATCAGTTGGTAGCCCAAACTGCTGCCACGACAGGCGAAGCAACAAGCCCACCAAGTGATCAGCACATGGGCCGGGCCTGGTTGGGCGCCACTCCAGGGCAAGGCAGACTACAAATATCCACGGGAGGTGCAGCGAAGAGTCATCCGGGCTTGGATCACGAACGGCAACGGCGGCTTCCTCTTTCCCCTATCATCTCCTACCTCTTGTACTCCTCCTCAACCTCTTGTAGCTCAGCTTGATCTTCCTGTAATGGAGTAATTCGAGTGATTCGTAAGTGGGTACCTAACACGGCGGCTGCTCGGGATGAACACACGATATGCTTTTTTTTAAAATTACGAAACAGGTGGGGAGGAAATACTAGACGAATCGTACGTACGCGGTGCGACCGCACCGGCGCCTATCACTCGCCTAGAAATAAGCACCATTGTTTATAAAATGATTTATTTTTGTATAAAAACCTCTCCAAGCACTCCCCATTGTAGGATTCTAGAAATATAAACCTTTCATCGAAATCCGGAGCAACAGTTTACATAAAAATCAACCTCATCAGACAAAAAAACATTCATACATATTCAGCATGGTTTTAAAATTTTAAAAAAATCAGCGCAGACCCGCCAAATAGATCGCACTAATCTTCCAGCCATCTCACAATCATCGTGGCACAAGTCCGCAACAGCACACAATGAGCAGCCCAGACCAAGCTGGTGATCATACCAAATCGACAACACACCCCTAAGAAAAACATATCGACAACACAATTACTCCATAGTTCAAGCAGCTCACACAACTACTCTCTCCGTCATCGATATGTGAGGGAGTAGATAGCCATCACCTCAGCCTGCAAGCCCACCAAAGCTGCTTGTCACATAACCTCTTTGCTCTAGCTGTCGGCACCAGTACAAACCACAGAAAACTCTTTTGCAACAGACCACTCACAGGGTAGCAAGTCACAGACTACTCCGGGAACACTTTGGCGTGAACACCCATCCGAAACAAGTAGGGTCAATAGTTCATCATTTATGCCGTAACATTTAGCAAAAAAATGAATCATAGACCCAAAAGGTGCTCTCCGAACCTCACAGGATGGACACAAATAAATAAGGGCAGCTACAGAAACTATTGCGGAACAACAGCGAGTAACCAGCTCAAGCTCAATCACCACCTGAGACAAAAACCAAGTTCAGGAGCCGGTGCCCGCAGCTTGCTCAGCAGAAAATAAATAGGACCCTAGACCTCTCAGTCTCACCCTTCATACATATCCACACCTGATGACCCAAGGTACTACAACAGACCACAGAAGGAAGTAGAATGACCAGCACATGAGCTTCAGCGATGTATGATATATACCTGGCTATATCATATTACAGAGGTGAGGGGAACAGAGCAGAACGGTGAGAGGAGCAGAAACTAGAAAGGACCGCAAGGGCCGGTGCATGTAGTTATTTGTTCGCGCCAGAATATACATAGCATTATGTTCTTATCAGTTAAATATTTGATATAAGATTCTCAAGATAGGAGTAATCATACACTAGGACAAGCAAGTATAGAGTCATTTTCTTCTCAATTCATCAGACTCGGAAGAAAGGTAAATTATAACTAAGAACTTGAACTAAGAAGAACGGGAGAATATGTTGGAAATCATCACAAGCACAGTATATTTATTTCATACAGCATAAATGAATAAAGATGATTTCAATGAAAGATCGTGTTTGGCAGAGGGTACAGATGGAATGAGAATGAATTGACAAAACATTCCTACAAAATGAATTACGAACCAGATTCAATCACTAAACAGTGAAGAGTTGGCCTAAGGATGATCCTGGCAGCTATTTTTCAATAGAAGGAATCATCATGCTAGTGTATTCTTCTGACCATAGTAACTGATAAGAGTAATTTCTGGCATTTATACTGAAGTCTGGATCAGTAGCTAGTTAGTTATAGGGTATCAAATGAATAACACGAAAAATTTGTAATTGACAATATGGTATAAGTGGGCATCAGATATCAAATTATGATGCCAAATACTAAACAGACCAAAATTCTATCTACGAAACTCTATGAACTGATAGCTGTCAAACTTCAGAGCAAATGACGTATTGGAAATCTGAAACATCCCATCAGTGATAACCGAAAGCAGCATGGACCTGAAGCACATAACTAAAAAATAGTTTTTTTTAAACAACATAACTAAAAATAGTTGGCACTCCACCAAAAAAACATAGTTGAGCAGAATACACAAAACAATATCAATCAGCACAAAAGGAATAATGCTCATGTTGTCAGTTACAAATTGTGGTGTAAGCAACAAATACCAAATTATGATACCAAATGCTAGGCAGATCGAAAAATTATAATGGCAACTTTAGAACAAAGGAGCTGTCGAAAGTTTGGAACGTCCGATTGGTGATAACTGAAAGCATCGCGGACACTGACACAGAAGTAAAAATAGTTGTAGTCCACTAAAAATGCATAATTGGACATAATATATCGCAGCACAGTTTAGATCGGCACAAAAGGCTCTATGCTCATGGCACCTAGTTGAAGCCACAATCTTTTCCCTGCTCTGAAGTTAATCCTCAACACCACCAATGTCTAATTCTTCCAGCAGAGAATCAGCAACTTCAAATAGAGTGTGTCATAATACGCACTACAATTTTGGAACATCCGGTTCCGTTGGTAAGCATCACATGCACACATATCAAAGCTGTAGCAGACCGCCACAGAACATGTTGACAACCATTCCCCTGCTCTGAAGCTTAAGCTAATACGCGACATAAGCAATTAACACTAGGAGAGTAAGAACAAAATGCTGCAAAAACTAACCAAACACACTAGGGACCGAGTTTCGTATGCAAGTTTGCAGGGCTCGCCACGGCATCACCTCGATCGAACGCTAGTAGTTTCCGGTGAACAGCTCCAATCCGATCTGCGAGGAGACGTAGGCATCGGTGCAGGCGTAGTGGATCTGCTCGTCGGAGAGGCAGCAGGCGTCCCACGGGCCCATCGTAATCCGCCGTGGCTTCTCGATGGTAACCCCCAAGACTTCGCGCGCCAGGTCTTTCAGCCCGGCCTGGCGGAGCTCCGGGATGCCCATCTCCTCGGCCGCGACGCCGCGCAGGTCCTGCAGATTGAGCACCTGCAGGTCGTAGTCCTGGGCCAGGCGATTGGCGTCCGCAGCCACGCCGACGCCGACGAACCAGAACTGGTTGTCCATGAGGAAGCCCGACAGGGCGTCAGGGATGTAGTCGGCGTGGAGGAGCTGGAAGATGAGGCAGCGCTGGTCAATGCAGAGCTGCAGGAGCGCGGCGGGGTTCTGCACGCGGCTGTAGCTGGGACGCCACTCGACGTCGAGCCCGACGAGGATTTGGTTGGGGCAGCCGGCGTACATGGAGTACACCTCCTCGACCCAGCCCTCCACGGCTGCGCCGGAGGACGTCACGGTGGTGGTGATCACCTCCTCCCCGAAGGCAACGTCGGTGACATACGTGTCCCCCATACTGGATCGCCTTGTCCGGCTGCTGCTACTTCCAATCTCCGGTGCGCAAACGACAAGGGTAAAGTGTTCTCCTTTTTTTCGACAAGGGTAAACTGGGTTCACGGTAGGGAAGGGAGTACACCGCGAGGATAGGGCGTCGGGTGCGCATCTCTGCTATAGGCGTATAGCTGGCCTATTATACGGCAAAAAAAATTGATTGAAGTAAAAATTTGAGAAATCAAAAAGGTTTTTTCTTTGACATATTACAGACTTATACAATCATACGCACGCATATATACGCACTCTTATGAACGCATGCACACACCTATCCTCATGAGCACCTATGAAAGATTGACTGCAAGCCAACAAAGCAAGTCTATGATCTATAGGAAAAGTATACAATATTAACTTAGGAAGCATTGTATGCACTATTCGTGGCTTGAAAGAAATAAATTTGTATCATATCTAGAGCTTATTGTATAAACTAATGAAGTAGGAAACAAAGTTACATTCGGTTACAAGAAAATCATGACAACATTTTTGTATTGGATAGAAGCAAAGTTTTTCTTGTGTAAGAAACTTTGATTGATTTATTTCCTGGAAGCAAAATTTTATTACAAGGAAGCAAACTGTTTAGACTTTGGACATAAATTTTTGTTACGTCAATAGAAAATCGATCGCAATCAAAGAAAATTATCTCGTTGGTGGTGATTCTAAAGTAATCTACTATATCACTAAGGTCCCTAAGCGTAAAAAGCCTCACAATCAATTGAGGTGTTCAATTAGAATTGGGTCACCCGATTTTGACCAAGTCAACAATTTCTCAATGCTCTTATTCAATTCTTTTATACTACACCTATGCTTCCTAATTATTAAGGACTCACAATTAATCGAGGTCTTCATTTTAGAACTTGGTCATTTGATTTTGACCGGGTCAATAATTTCTCGAGGAGCTCATCCATTCACCATATTCCTAATTTTGAAGCTCTTTATTCAATTGAGATATTCAATTTTGAATTTGGTTTATGATTTGATCAGGCCAATGATTTTTCAAATCAATCAACACCAACTCGCTAGAAAGGATAATAACCCTGTGCACCATGTTGACATCTAGAAAAAAAAGTGCCACCATGATACTACAGCATCAATATAGTACAAGTAACCACCAATGTAGAAATTTACCCACAAAAATATGCGTTGATTAGCGCATAACACAGAATCACACCATGAAAGGCCCACCAAATAACCGCATTATAAATAAACAATAAACACACTCCATCGTCTCCACCATCCGCCAAACTAAATATTTCTTCAGTTTTAAAATACAAGGGATGTTAGTTCTTTAGAAAGTCAAATTTCTTTAACTTTGACCAAGTTTAGAGATAAAAATATCGACATCCACAATATTAAACCAAAAAATTATGGAAATTCATTTCATGATGAATCTAATAACACCAATTTGATATTATGAATTTTTATATATTTCTTTGTAAATTTGATCAAACTTAAAATAGTTGGACTTTTCAAAAAAGTAATACACCTTATATTTAAATACAAAGTGAGTAATTTTTTAAGAATCTCAACAACACCAACGGCGCAGCAAACCGCGCCCAACCCTTCTAGTTACAACTGCTTCCAAA